GGGTCGTCTTGGGAATCAGCGACTTAAAGGTCGGAGGCTTTAAGCGCGTCGGAGCTGCAGGATGGGGTGTCAGGTTTCAGGATTTACGTCTTTCTCTTCGGGCCTGTCGGGGGTCGAAAGGTTTGGGGGAACGAGTTGAAGGCTTTGGGATAACAACGGTTGCCGGGTTCGAAACTGAGTTACATGTCTACAGAGATGAACTGACACATACGAAGCCCACACAGACACGGCTTACAGAGGCCACACCGGGACGTCAGCTGGAGTCCCCGCAGGTCCTGCATCATCAAGGATGCTACCACGCCAGACCTCAACGGTCACATGCGGCGCTTCCAAGCAGTAAATCCCACAAGGGTTGCAGTGCAAGCGCTACGCTTTGAATCCACTAAAGGGCTCTTGCCGATGGCATGGCTTCCCTAAGCCTGCAAGCTCTCCTAGATGAGGTTCTTTCTTGCCTCTGCAATTCCCTTAATTAAGGAATATACCTTAAACCGTAAAATTTAGGCCCTTACAATTCAAGGTACATTCCTTAAGGGGTATAAGGCTCTTTCTTGCCTCTGCATTTGAATTTCAGCTTCTCCGAGCTCCGTGCTCGGTGGCAGCGTAGATGCTGTCTGGGTGCTCGCCCGAAAAGGCGAGGGCCGTGGGCCTTGGCACAGAACGGAGGGTTGTAGGGTTTAGGGTAGCTTAAGGCTGTTTGGGTGCACTGAGCAAGACGACAGCGCAGTAACAAGGACTGACTCCCATGACAACCTACAGCACAGTCCGCACCACGAGCATTGGCACCTACCTAAAAGCAGAGTCCCGACGAGGGCTCTGGAAACCGACCAGTGCCAAAAGTGCTAGGGCAGCTGCTTGCCAATCTGCTCGAGGAACCAATCGTACTGCCCAACCTTGGGGCTACCACATCACAATGACCCCGCCCAAGTCACTCACTACTGTAACTGCCATCTTCATCATCGTAGTCATCATGATTGCAATCATCATCGTCATCATCATCCTGCTCTCGCTCCTGCTCCTCCTCATCATCATCTTCTTGTCCTTATCTGCAGCATGACTGAGGGGCGTCTCTCTTTTGACAGGTCATTCCGTTCATTGCTTCGCGATAACGATCTTTTCTTCACACAAGTGGTTTGCTGTCGTTCCTCTGATCGGTTTCAACGGCTCAGCCTTGGGTAGCGCCTTCGTCAAGGAAAAGGCAGATTCTGCGCGGGAGGTCTTGCTTGCTTTCGCAATGATGAAGAGATCTGTTTGACTTCGCTACCACCACGGACCCCTTTTGGGACTTGGCGCTACCTCCACCCCGCAACAAAAGAGCTGTCTTGCGAGCATTTGAACAGCAGAGCATCTTATAGGGGCCTGACTACCCCGAGACTCCAATATCCCTTAATTAAGGAATACACCTTAAATCTTACTAGGGTTCCTACTATAGTTTAAAACCTATTCCTTAATTAAGGGTTTTTTGGAGTCTCTGGGAATTACAATGGGGGTTTGGGGCGCATTCTACTACAACTGTGACAGGGGCTAGCACTAACCACACAAGAGAGCCCAAAAAAAGCACATAAACAAAAACTGGGATAGGGATATCCCATATAAATCCCCTTATAATGAAGCCCAATAAGGTAGGGATATCCCTATAAAATGCTTATTCTTATGTCCTTTTTGGGTTCCTAACACAAGAGGGCCGGCCTCGTCCGTGTACATGGCCGACCTTGCCATAGTACGGTTGATGATACAAATCCTGCATTACCCATTATATGGCATTTACCATAATTCCCATAGTTTAGGGTCCTTAAGATTAAGGTAATGCAGGGCCCTAAACCCTAAACCCTGAACCTTAAACCCTAAAATTCCCATAGTTTAGGGTCCTTATAAGCTAATGCAGGATTTACATCATCAACAGTAATATGGACGGGCGTTTCTGCTTGAAGATGAGGGGCTCTCCATCTTTCAGGGGCGTGGAGAAGGCTCGAGGCAGAAAGGAAAGTTTGCAACAAAAGAATGAGCTGAAACTCTTAGAGGGTATGTTTTGGGTTTCAGAATGACGAACAGACGAAAGTGTCTTTTAACGTAATGTAGGGGGGTGAATATTTAGAATGGAGTTTTGGGTATATCTTACCGTAACTGGTGGACTCCTGGACCTGACAATTTTGTGGAAACTAGCCCAGAGTCGGTTCCAAAATCGAAGGAGGAGTATAGGGAGTTGGCACGGCTTACGAACAAGAGAGACCCTAAACCCTAAACCCCTAAACCCCTGAACCCCTAAACCCCTAAACCATAAACCCTAAACCCCAAACCACAAACCCTAAACCCTAAACCCCTAAACC